TTGAAATGAAAATGCAGGAAAGGAACTTAAGAAACATTCCAGTAACCTTGCATGCACGTTAAGGATTTTAAAAACAATCACTTATAGACATCACTATTTTCTAAACAACTTTTAATGGAGAGTTTTATTTTGTTTTTAAGTAGTGCTGAATTTTGGCCCTTAGGAAATCTTTAGGACTTATGAAAAACAAACAAACAAACAAAACAAAAAAACAAAACAAAAAAACAAAACAAAACCTTGTCTTAGTTGTCTTTTTAAGATATTGAGGAAATTTCTTTCAGAGCATTTGATAAGCAGTCATATTTTATACAGAAAATCAAATTGTCTTAATAAAAACTGATCATATGATGGGTTTTGAGAAATGCCCATCACGTGTACTTTTTTGACAGAGTAATGTGTAGAAATTCTAAGACCACATCACGTCTCGGGGCCATGGAATGGGTAGGGCACCTTGTTAGTTCCAGCTGGAATAACCAAGTAGAGCCTGTGTTGATGTCTAAACAGCAGTTACTTTCTACAGCCCTGGAGGCTGCAAGTCTGAAGTCAGCCTGGCCTCGTGGTTGGGCTCCTGGTAACATTCTGGTGACAGCCTCCTCCTCTCTGTAGGGTGAGATTTAGGGCACTGCAGGCTGGACATCCATCATCCAAAAATCCCAAACACTAGAAAACACGAAGCTTTTGAGCACTCATAGGACATTAGTGGAAAATTCCACATCAGGAAACTCAGTTTTATCTAAAAAAATATTTTTAAATGCTGTATAAAATTATCCTCAGAAAACATGTATGATTTTTATAGAAAATGTGTGTGAACTTATTGTTTAGACCATTCCCAAGATATCTCATTATGTACATGTGTGGTGATATTTTATTTGTGCTGAAATGTGATATATTATCTGTATGTTAATAAATAAAGTTTGTCTGGAGATCAGGGTCATAGCTAGCCATAAACAGAAGTCAGGTGGTGTTAGCACACGCCCTTTACCTGATCACATGGCAGGCAGTCTCTCTGTGTGGTCAAGGACACAGCCAAGCGTGGTGACACAAGCCTTTAATTCCAGTACCAACCATAGAGACCTGGAGGTCTGTATAGACAGGCAGTGACGGGGAAGTGATGTGGCTGGACTTAGAGCCAATGAGAAGGCAGAACAGGAAGGCAATAAAGGCACAGGTTAGACAGGAAGAAGTTCTCTTGGGAAGCTACAGCGATGTGGTGAGCTAAGGTTAGTTGGTAGCTATTGCTCTGATCTCTACGGCTTACACCTCTGTATTTGGATCTATGTTTCTTATTTAATAAGACTGTTTAGAAATTCGTCTAGCTGGGCGGTGTTGGTGCACGCCTTTAATCCCAGCACTCGGGAGGCAGAGCCAGGCGGATCTCTGTGAGTTCCAGGCCAGCCTGGACTACAAAGCGAGTTCCAGGAAAGGCGCAAAGCTGCACAGAGAAACCGTCTCAAAAAACAAAAACAAAAACTAGTATTTTTGCCGGGTGGTGGTGGCGCCCACCTTTAATCCCAGCACTTGGGAGGCAGAGGCAGCCAGATCTCTGTGAGTTTGAGGCCAGCCTGGTCTACAGAGCAAGATCCAGGAAAGGTGCAAAACTACACAGAGAAACCCTGTCTTGAAAAACCAAAAAAGAAAGAAAGAAAGAAAGAAATTCATCTACATATATGTAAATATTTCTCCAATCCCCAAACGTCTGAAATCGGAACTACTTCTGACTCTAAGCATTTTGAATGAAGGATGCTTAGGCTGTAATCCCCTGCATGAAAGCCTTGGCCCTATGACCAGTTATCTCCCAAAGTCCCCATTCCTCCGTCTTGCCATACTGGAATACGGGCTGCGATGTGAAACAGGAAGGGTGCAACTCTCAATGGACTGCACACACTTTCAAGTGAAATACAGGCCCCAATAATAGCATGTTTAGTTTGACACGGACCCTGTAGCCATATTAAATTCTCTAGTTCAGGGCTGGAGAGATGGTTCAGAGGTCTTATAAGAGCACTGGCTGCTCTTCCAAAGGTCCTGAGTTCAATTCCCAGCAACCACACGGTGGCTCACAACCATCTATAATGAGATCTGGCACCCTCTTCTGGTGTGCAGGCAGAACACCGTATACATAATAATAAATACATCTTTTAAAAAAAATTCTCTAGTTCAGTTTCTGTATCTGTAAAACAGAAAATAAAACTACAGAATTTAGTTTTGCAGGAGTGAATGGATCTGTTTTATATGAACGTTTTGACTTTTCAAGATTATCTACCAATGTGGAAGCAGAAGAGGAAGATACGGCCAGTTCTCCAAGAGTCACAATTCCTTAATTGCCTGTTCTTATAATTTTTTAAGTTATTTTTATCTCAAGTATGGGGGTGTTTGGCCTGCATGTTTGTCTGTGCACGCCATACATGCCTGGTAGCCTCGGAGGGAAGAAGAAGGGGTTAGATCCCCTGGGAGTGGAGTTACAGAGGAGTGGCAACTGCCTTGTAGATGCTGCAATCAAAATCGCGCCTTCCCAAAGAGCCCTCAGGAGGCTTGACCACTGAGCCTTCGCTCTAGCTCCTGATTCCCTCTTCTTAAAACCGAAGACACTCAGGTCCGGGAAACAGAAAGCATCAACTCTAAACACCATCACAGGCATTTTCCTCTTGTCTAGCTGTAGCCTGAGAAAAGTGGCTCACTCTACGAAAGAAAATTTTGAAAACCCCGGATTCCTCTCTTGCCTGAAGCTTGCTTTTCCAACCCCAAGTCAGCTGAGAGCTCCTCAGATACGAAAATTTATTGATATCCTTTTGGTAGTCAAGTGTTTCTATCCTCTAGGCCACCATAACATCACCTTCACAGTCCCTGACAGAAAATGCTTATGAAGTTGGAGTGTCCCAGGGAATGGCTGTAGTTTTTGTATTCTGTTTTCATGGGGCTGCATGTCCATTGTTAATAAAACGCTATTGGCTGTTGAATTTGATTTGAGTTCTGTTAGAACACTACAAACAGCGCTGAAAACCAAATGATAAAAAAATTCTTTATACGTATTTGTTTGTTTGTTTATTTTGAAATAATTTGGAGTTATAAGGTCTTTTGAAGTATTCAGTCATGATTTAAAAATTGAAATCAAAGTACTACTGTAATTTTTTCTTTGTGGGCATCTAATGGAACTACTTTATTTTCAGACTCTATGATTAGCTCGTCATTTGGTCTAGGGTCTGGGCCACCCAGTCTGCAAGACCACCCACACCTTCAGTGCATCTTAGACTTTGCCACCACATTATCGGGTACGTTATCGGCTCATTTGCTTCTTGGGGACTACCTGTCACTAGGGTAGTAAACTGCATGGGAGTTCTAGAATCAAGGGCCAGACTGATGACAACCCTTTCCTAGGACCTAGACCAGTGCTCGGCTCACAGAACCCTTGTTTATCACCTCAAATGAATCAGCGAGAGAAACAGACTCCATCTAAGCCCCATCAGGCACTGCCCTGTAGGTTTCCTGTGTTATCACACCTGCACCTACTTTGACTGTGAACAATAAGATCTCTTGACACTTTAGAGATTAAAAAAAAGAGCCAAGAGGACTCAGGCTGAAGCCTAGTCTTCTCATACTCCTGTAAAACACGGGTTAACCTCTTCCTTCTTTCCCAGCAACATCCCCCACAATTAATCACAGAGGTGAAACAGAGCTTCAGTATCTCTTGCTGTTACTAAATGCGTGAGTAAAGCAGGAAAAATATCCAGAGGTCAAATGAGTGGGTGCAATCTACGTACAGATCCCTGAGCAAACAAGGGCAGGGTACATTAGTGCCGAAATGACTTTGTGGCTTCAGAGTTACTCAGAAAGGGGACTAACTACAACATGGCTGTCTAGGAAATAACCCTAGATTCAGCTGCCTTAGGGACCACCAATCTCATTTTGGGGATAGTTTGTGAGTTATTGCGGACTTTTCTTTTACCTGTCCCTCCCCTTTCTCACTAGCTGTGTTTTGATGAGTTCCTCCCTCTCTTTCTCCCCTTCCTTCTCTTTCCATTCTCCTATAGTTAAGCTACACACAGAAGAAGATGAGAGGAGAGTATACGAAGAATGTTGCCTTCTGAAAGGGGCGGTTCGTACTAGACAGTTCTCTGCCTTCATTCTCTTTGAGTCGTTGGCAAGTAGATTAGAAATGGCCTTTGCCCTGACACTATAAAAAAAAATAATGATAATTTCATTTGCAATGCACACTTCCCAAGACTGCCTCACTCCTTTCCCCTGTTTTCATCCCAGTTCACGCTCACCTTCTGTGTTGAGACCGCAGGAAGCCCAGCGGATGTGTGAACATCTGGCAGAGAGGGCAAGGGCCCAGGGATTTTACAGGGCAAGATGGGGGCCGTAAATCCCAGCGCGGTCCGCAGGAAGAATTTACCAAAGGGCACGCCCAGTTCCCTGTTTGAGTAGTCTCTCTAGTCATACTCCTAGCTCGGGTGGGAGATGTTTCATTCCGAAGGCAGAGCAGCCACGCCTGGCACCCGCCCCGCTGTACTGGGGACCCAGGCGCAGTCCGCGAAGGGCGCAGCGTGGGAGGCCCACGGGGATCCCCGGCTCGCCGTCTGCCCGGCAGGTGGCGTGGACCACGGACTCTGGAATTGAGGCTGAGTCAGAGGAAACTTCCTCCCCGACCAAACCCGGTTGTTTGCCCTAAGCATCCCGAGTTTCCCCGCCACACATTCAGCACTACGTAATTGACACGGGCCCGCCCGGAGACCAAAGTGGGTGTCCCGTCTGTCCTGCCTCCCATTTGGGCTTCCCCCCCAGAGCCTGGAGTGTGATGGGCACAGCTCAGTATTTACTGTCCGGCTGGTGGGACAGCCGAGTGAACGGCGGGAACCCCGAAGGACCAGGGGACCGCGTTAAGAACCCGCACATTTTCTTCGGATCTAGTTGTAACTTGAGACGGCCGGCGCATCTGGGCTCCCAGCGACCTAAGTGACAGTGACAGATATCCCCACTCTGCCGCCACCAGGCCTGACACTCACCTTCTCGGCAGGGCTCCCCGGGTGGCAGCCTCAGCTGACCCCCCATGGCCTGGGGACCGGGCTTCCTCGGCGCTGGCACTAGTTTCTCACGCACCTGTACCCCGGGACCCACGGCGGAGCTTCGGGGTCCGCCCAGGGTGTGCGCTGGCTCCTCCCCCGTGGCAGCCTCAGCCAATGAGAGTGGCTGGGTGTGGCATCGGAGCGAGCCACGCCCCCTGGCCCGGTGGTTGGAGGCTCATGCTCCGCCCATTGACGGCCGGCGTGGCTCTTTCACTGTCCTGGGTGTCTGTAGGGTGGGCCGGGTTGCGTGAGTGTGCAGGCCAGAAACACCTGTCCCAGAAGGCTTATGAGGTCACAGCGTGGATGCTGCCGAAGCCGCTCCCGGAGTTTACTGGAGTAGAATCTGTGCTGAGGTGCCCCCTTCTGGCTGTCCCGGAGCTCACGATTTTGTGCTAGCTGGCATCTGTGGGCCCTGCCCATTTGTGGGAGTCTTCCATCACTGGCTTTTATGGCACAGGACCCTGTCTGCTGGATTTCTGCGCTGAATCCATGCTAAAGTTTACTCTGGGAATTTTCGAACAGGCTTGGTGCCTCTTACGTACCCCCCTTGTCCTCCACGCCCACCTGTTTTCAACCAGGAGGTATCTCCCTCTCCACACACTCAACTCCTTTATCCCCACGCCCAGTCATATAGATGTATGAAATAAGCTTCTAAGGGAACATCAATGCCCAAACTTAGGAAATCTGTTCCCACACCGAGGTTTATGTTATTCTAGCTGTGCGTTACCTAGCATACAGGCACATACATGAATCGACTTATTACATTGCGCAGTTTATTAACTCCGGTTTGCAGATGAGAGATTCAAGGTAAAGGATGAGGTGGAGTAACCTAGCCATGAGGTATTTATATCTCGAGAAATGGGCACACTTCCTGCTGAAACTTTCAGCGGGGAGAGTCGGGAGTGTGCATACGTGTGGGGTGCCTTTGTGCTCTGGCACTAAAACACTGTACTCCTATCCGCTCTCCTCCCCTTGATTCTAGGTGTTCTTGAACAGCTATTAACTTTATTGCCTAAGAGTTTCACTGCAGAGATTCAGCTTGCTTTTCTTGTTTTCGGGCTTATGAGACAAGACTTAAATCCAAATTAGTCAATAATCCAAGGTGCATACTTGTTACGTGGGTATGACTTGTGGAAAAAGAATGGGGTGGGGACGGGAACAAGCGAAAGTGGCGAGGATGATTTAAGACGGTTTTGGATGGGGAGCCTTGTGAATTAGACAGCTATTTAAGTATTTTCTTTGGCCATCAGAGTTGAAGTTTTGTCTTCATCTTAAATTGGCAATGATAATAAATCACTATCAGGCACTTATATCAGGTACTTACTACTATTTAACAAACATCAGTTACTATGTGGCAAAAACTGTCCTAAGCATTTTATAAAAATTTGTTTAATTCATATGAAAGCTGTTTCAAGACAATAGATGTTGCTATTCTCTGCTTTATGCTTCATATCTTCACTTGAAAATGTTCCCTTGAGATGCATTATTTTTCTTTGTTTGCAAACGTATGCACACATGTGTATGCAGGTGCACATGTCCGTGTGTCTGTGGAAGCCAGAAGGTGATACCAAGTATTTTGCTCAATTGCTCTTCCCTTTATTCCCTCGAGATGAAGGTCTGTTACTGAACCTGGAGACAGCCTAGTCAGCAAGTCCCAGAAATCCTTCTGTTTCAGTCCTCCAGAAAGCTGCGGTTATAGGTGTGAACCATATTAGCTTTTTATGTGGGTTCTGGTCTTCCTGTACGTGCAGAAGAGCTGTTCCCTTCCAGGTCATCTGTCCTGCACTTTGAGATGAAGGTCAGTTTTTCACAGGAGGTGCTTTGTTATAATTCTTCCTTATTTTGGTTCTGGCAATCCTCTGGAAAAAATACTCAAACTTATTTATGATCACAGCTGTCCCAAGCTCAATGTGGCCTAAGCAGAAATTGACCATGAATTTTCTTTCACTGACTGTTTCTAGATGAGCATATATGCGGACATCACACAGAATGTTATTAGTGCATTAATTGGGGGGCAGCTGTTAGTTCAACCAGGAATATACTATTTAACCCAAAGAAGAACAACACTTATAAGTCTCCAATGAGGCCACTCCTGACTTTGGGAAATCCTTTTATGAGTCAAAACTCTCTCTCTCTCTCTCCCTCTGCGCATCATCCTTGTATCCATCCCTTCATTCACACCCCACAGCCAATCAATCAGCAAATTGTATTTGCCTCCGCTTTAAATCTATATCCCAAATCTGACCCCTTCCTTCCACCCTAACTCCCCCATCCTGGTTAGAGTCACAGTCACCTCTTACTGAATTTCTGCCACAGTCTCCCAAGTGTTCCCTGCCCCATCTTCCTTCTCAGACCACAGCTCCCTGACTCCCTCTACCCCTTGGCTTATGCTGATGCTTTCTCTACTTCTCTTTGACAGTCCAACACAATCCCGGGCTTTCCCTGGGGAAGTGGGCATGACTAGCTCTGTCACCGCAGTCAGGTGTCCCCTAAAGGAAGCCTTCCCCGAGCCCTCCCTCATGTCGTTTCCCCCCCTTTTCTCACACCCCAGGTCACACCTGACTTATGTGCTTCCTACTGTGTTTGCTCTTTCTCCTCCTTATCAGAACACTTGCTTTACGAGGGTAGAAATGCACTCTTGTGAGCTATCGACTCCCTCGTGCTTAGAAGAGAGCCTGGTACTTCACAAGCACTTGAATGAATAATTATGCTTTGCAGTGAGCCACATGCTCCGTGTAGAGTAACAGACAAATAATGGACAGTCCTAAACTCAGAGGGTTTGCAGTTCTTACAGGGAAGATAATCATTTAGCTGTTAAGCTATTAATTATACAATCTTTAATTGTGATCATAAAAGTGGTGATGTCATTAATGGGCTGAGATGGCCGAAGGTCTTGGTGGGTTGGGAGACAGATTATCAAATACTTAATAACACAAAGTCAAGAGCCAGAATTTCTCAAATCACCTGTTTTTTTAAACAATGGAAATACATAAACAATCAATTTCATGCAAATGAGCATCGATGGTTACAGGCACTTTAAATAGGATTATAAAGACTTAGAGGAAGCTGACAAAGCAGGACAGAGAGCCCCGTTGAAAGTAGCCTACTAAGTAGATAATCCATGTGGCTATGTTCTTTCTGTCAGTCAAGGTTACTGCTGGTCCCAGGGAAAGAAACTCAGCGATAGGGAGACTGGGTCAAGGTACACACACCGCAGAGGGGAAAAGAAAACATCACATGGTATTCTTACCCCTTTAAACTTGAGTCGATTGGGAAAACCTCCTATTATATGTTCCATATATACAGATAAAATTTCTACTCACTTTCAATTTCATCAAAAAATACACCCCTCCCCCCAAAGGCTTCTGGTTAATTTCCCTTCCTTCTCAAATATTTGTGCTCCTTGCATGCGGTCCCTCAGGTCTGTATCACACGATGTCTTAATGTCTTCCTCCTCAGGACGGTCTCTGTGCACTCTTGGACCCCAGAACAGCTCCCCTGTACATCATAGGTGCTCAGGAGTGACTGCTCCTACCAGTTCCTTTAGTTCATCACAGTCACTTTTGAAAGTGTCATAGGACAGAAAACCGTGGGAATGTGAACATCAGGCTGGATGAGCACATCTGTTTGTCTTAGTTACGTCTTCCAGATATGAAGTAGGACTACAAAAGACTGCTCCAAACTATCCTAGAAATGCATATTTTAAGCTGGAAAGATGTATATTTAGCTTCTAAAAGGAATCAGGCAAGTTTGTAAGAATTACTGGAACGTAAAGTTTTTCCTGGCTGCATGTCTGTTAAATGTTATAGTAACATCCTGCCCAGCATTTGAGGATTTCCACAATATCCATATTACTGTGCCTCGTTTTTAATCTTCAAGATAAATTTGTAGTATTATAATGCTGGAGAAAATTGACAAGGAAATTTTAATAAAATCCATTAGGCAGTATTTCTTTTGGTTTGCCTTCAAACATTTGAAGAGACATCGCTTTGAGAAAGGCCTTTTTATTTATCAGCCGCATGCATATTAATGAGCTCAGGTTCAAGCTAAGGATAATGATGACTTGGGTGCTGTTATTTTCATCTACACACAAATCCGCAAATCCAGGACTGAGCCATGAACATCCTCCCCTGCCGATGCCGTGGAACTTACTTTTCTGAGGAATAATTAATAAAACGAGCCATTCATGCTGCTTAAGGAGAGGGAAAACAACATCCTATTTATTACTTAAGAAAAGTTGCATCTGGATTTTGACCATGCCAAGATTAACCAAATATCTGAGTCTGATTTGGATGCACCACTGATCGGTACTGCTGGGAGACAGACATCTCACTTAAATAAGCACAGGTAAGAACCCAGGGGTAATTTCAATTATATTTTTTTATTTATACTGACGTGTTTTTATTTACAAAAATCCCAGCTGTTGTGTTGGTTCCCATGATACAGGGTTTTAGAAACAGCTAATAATTTAATCCTTATTGTCTCTGCATTTTTTGATTCAGATTTGTGAATTAACACATGAGTTTAGCTAAAAAAAAAATAGCAATAAATAAAGGTCTTACCCCATGACTTTGTGAATCTGGATATTATAGACTAGTAAACACCACTGGGTTTTTGAAAATTTAAAATTTGTTTTTAGAAGTCAAATGCAATGATCATGACAGGTGTGTGTTTTCCCTAAAGAAAGTATTAAATATTAATTTCTCTTTCTCTTTATAATATTTGAAGACTGGGCATGAAACTCACACGAATGGTAACAAAGGATAAACTGTAAAAACATAAATTCCAATTTGTTGGGAACTCCCAAGTGTTAGACAGTTTTATAAGAGATTTTATGACAACCTGGTCCTCCATTCAGAGATGAAGATGTGGTCTGTGGGGAGCAGGGGACTCCCCAGGGTACCACTTCCTCTTTGGGGAGGTCCAGAATTTCACCAGGCCATCTTCTTGTTTTCTACTCTTTTTTTCCAGTGTGTGTGTGTGTGTGTGTGTGTGTGTGTGTGTGTGTGTGTGTGTGTGTGGTGTGCCTGTACTTGTGTGTGTGTGTTGTGCATGTGT